CTTAATGTTACACTGTCAGATATGCAAAAGAAATCTATCGTATCTCTTGCTCTGGCTACTGTGTATAGACCACCAGGGTCGTATACAGATTTCCTAAAAGAATTTGCAGATTTCCTCTCAGACCTATTGGTTACTGTTGATAAAGCGCTTATTGTCGGAGATTTTAACATTCACGTTGATAATACAAATGATGCATTAGGACTTGCGTTTACTGACCTAATAAACTCTTTTGGAGTCAAGCAAAACGTCACCGGGCGCACTCATCCTTTTAATCATACGCTAGATTTAATGATATTGCATTGAATCGATCTTACTGATATACGTAGATATCGTACCTCAAAGTGATGATGTTACTGACCATTCCCTTGTATCGTGCATGTTGCTTATTACTGATATTAACTATATGGCTCCGCGTTATTGTCCGGGCAGAACTATTGTTCCAGCCACCAAAGACAGAGTCACAAATAACCTGCCTGATTTATCTCAACTGCTCTGTGTACCCATAAGTACACATGTACTAGATGAAATGACTAGCAACATGGGCACTATCTTCTCTAATACATTAGAAGCTGTTGCCCCCATCAAATTGAAAAAGGTTAGAGAAAAACGTACTGCGCCATCGTACAACAGTAATACCCACTCTCTCATAAAAGAAACTCGTAGTCTTGAGAGCAAATAGAGAAAAACTAACTTGGAAGTTTTTAGAATTGCGTGGAAAATGACCTCTAGACTGGACTATTGTAATGCACTGCTAGGTGGTGGTCCTGCATCTTCAATAAACAAGCTACAGGTAGTCCAAAATGCAGCAGCTAGTGTCTTTACCAGGTCAAGAAAATATGATCATATTACCCCAATTTCACAGTCTCTGCACTGGCTACCTACTAAGATCCGCATCAGTTAAAAAATATTATTACTTACCTACAAGGCCCTTAATGGGTTAGCTCCTGTATACCTAACTAGTCTTCTACCATACCACAATCCATCACATATGCTAATTATGTCTCTATTTGTTTCTCTGTTTCTGCCACGGGATTGATATGATACTGGTGAAAGTCAACCAAAATATTTTCACAGGGTGCCCGCAGTCTAGATTTATGCTTTCAGTTCTAATAGAAATCTTATACAGTATTACATTTTGTAGATCTAAAATGGTAATTGTACATTACCATGTCGGTGGTCGGTACGCACATGAGCGCTCGCGCATGCGCACCTGCGTACCACTTACGTGCACCCCTGATTATAAATGTACACTTTCAAAAAAATTGGTGTCGGAGGACAAAGTCGTCAAAAATCCCTTGATTTTTTGAAAACTGATCTCACATAAACTATCCTAGCTTTGATAGACGCTTGAGAATGCATTGAATTTAAAAACCGGGTCGATCGCCGTTGTGTGTTTTCTTCTTCTTCTTCTTCTTTTGTGAATTCAAATTTCCCGCGGTGCCAAAGCATGAAAGAGCACCACAAGAGCACTAGCGGCCGAAAGTATATTGCATCTATAGTGGTTTAGCACTACCATTGAGAATGAATGGGAAACGGTTTAGGGCCTTTTAGCTAAAGAATCCCCGGCCACCGCGTGGGAGACCCGGGTCCGATTCCAGGCCAATGCAAGAACAGCCTCCTTTTAAGTAAGGTGTGTGTGGTTCTTATTTGAAGGAGCTCCAGCTGCATTTCCAACCTTGCGAATCTCATTGAGGCAGTCAAGCATATTCGATATATAACATATACATATCTAAACTTAGCATTCCCAGCCAATGCCAGAACAGCCTCCTTTTAAGTAAGGTGTGTGTGGTTCTTATTTGAAGGAGCTCCAGCTGCATTTCCAACCTTGCGAATCTCATTGAGGCAGTCAAGCATATTCGATATATAACATATACATATCTAAACTTAGCCAAGAAAAAGTGTGTTTTTCAGGATGCTGCATTTTAAAGATAATTAATGGAAGCACCTTAGACAATGCTTTTTCATGCTTGTTCAATGAATTACAAGCAATTACTGCTCATTAAAATCTGAAGAATTCCTGAAGGCAATAACACTTTACAGGCGGCAGGCAAGAAAGGTCAGGGTTAAAACAACTAATGACAGTAAACTGACCTGTGTGTTGTCTCTGAAAAACACCAGAAGAAATATGTCCAGGCTTACGGCTGACCTGCATGAAAGTGGGATAAACTACAATGTCAGTAATGTAAGATCCCTAAGACAGCGCTACAGGGGCACAGATGGACCGCTGATCATCATGGCAGTGTCAAACAGCATGTCAGAGGTGTTGGAGAATATGCAAGTTCCTTGGTGTAAGAGCGGGGTAACATCTCCCAGCAAGAACTGACAAATCTGGTGCAGCCCAGGAGGATGAGATGCACTGTAGTTCTTAAGGAAGCTGGTGGCTACAGAAGATAACGACTCTGACTTTTGATATTGACCGCCCCCCTTCTCCCCTTTGTTCAGAGACTCATTAGTCCATTTCTTTTCATCAAATGCCTATGGAACTTGTTCAGTTTATCTCTTCCTAGACTTGCGCATCTCCTCGAGCCAGTCAAGCATTATCGTGATAGAATTCTCGCCTGCGACGCGGGGGCCAGCCGCGGATAGTTGTAACTCACTGACAGCCAATGAAATTGAAGCATTTCAACAGCTGGCCAAAGAGCGGAAATGATGTCACAGCCAATCAGATTTTTTCATGCATTTATTTGGACCGGGGTTCGAATCCCGCTCACACAAGTCTAAACCATTATTTTACACAGCTTTGTGCTTTTCATCAAACAAAATTCTAAAATGAAACGATACATTACAGCTGCAAAGTAAGTAATTTGTTTCTTGCCTTTTTGAAAAACAAAGTAAATTATTATGAATAAATGATTAGTATTAAAATAAATACAGTAAACTAGTAGTATACCTTACATGTTTATATGAAAACATGATTATATAATAATGGTTATATTAAACATGAATGGTTTCTATTAAATGGCTTTTGAAATGTAAAGAAGAATCATTTAAATTTAACTCAAAATGTGTAATATTGAAGTACTGAATGAAAATTGATTGAGTAGAGGAATAATTTATCACACTTAAGATAAATTATCAATTAAGTTTTTCTAGTTTCTGCTGCACTAGTTATTCACAATTTCACATGAGAGGCAGGTTCAAATCTACGTCAGTTCAGTCTGAAATGTGTATATAATTTTTTGTATAGACAATTGTATAGACAATTCTCTAGACAATTGTATAGAGGAAGGCCCATATTATAGTATGTAATATCAGTACATGTTAAACTGCAAAAAAATCATTTATAAATCAAGACTGATACTCTGTTGCATTAAAAAATGAATAAAAATAACCTATTTAACCATTTATTCATATTGAAAATAAGCCGACTAGTGTTTGAAGATGAAATTAAATGAAACAAGTTCTTTACTTAAAATCAATGTTTTATTAAATTAACTCAAACATATGCCTTCAGTGGAATTTAGAGAGTGCTAAAACAACTAAAACAAAACAACCCAAGTATAACTAATGAAATTATAGCTGCTGCAAAGCAATGGGATGGGACTGGACAGAAGTTGAACAATAGGGACTAAAAACCAACAAGTGTGAAAACAAGTTTATATAAGTAATAACTATCAGTTCTGATATACAGATCCTTCAAAAGAAAAAATAACTAAATCAATTAGATATATGTACACAAGGAAATAACAACAAAATCAATTAGATTAATCAGTACACGATTTACAAACAGTTGCAATTTACCAGAATATGCTCCATTAGATCGTATGTGCTAGGATGGATGTTATGTTAAGGACAGGATGTGAAGAACATAAACAATGATTAATTAAAATGTGTATGTAATTGAAAGGAATGGAGCAACGGAATGATGCAACATGAAAACAATGGATGATTAAAATATGAAACGTATTGTCACAAAGCAAGGCCAGACACAACAGGTAAGTGCAAATCAGGATGGTTTATTGACTGGGTAAGGGGATGACTGGAATAGGTGAGTTAAAGGCAGGTGAGTGACAACACAGTGAATGGTTCCAGGGTGCTTATCTGAGTTCTGATGGTGAGGATCGGATGCCGGTTACGTTGGAGATCGTGGAACAGTTTCCAAGGAGTCGTTGGAGGATCGCGGGAGGAACAGCAGGTAATTCGTTCTATGGAGAATTTGGCAGAGAGAGTCCAGAGCAGTTCGTAGGAGTGAACGGTAGACCGGACAGTGAGTGACTGTGCTGTGTGTGTATTTGTAGTGTGGCTTGATTGGTGACAGCAGGTGCGGGTGATCAGAACTCAGGTGACTGTGATCGGGTAATTATTCTGGATGGTGACTGAAGTGACTGTGATGAATCCCTGACACGTATCAAGTGTATGTATACACGTTCAGGATGTCTATTTCTTTCTCTCTGCTGCCCACCTCTCCTTTTCCATGACATAGAATGATGAGGCTTGAAATTCCTTCAATGTCATTTCCTTTGTCATGCCTCTGTCTTTGTATAAGTCGAGGACTTTAGCATGGCAGTAAATGTATTTTCCTGCCACTCCTGGAAACCCTGTGTGGATATGTTTGCTGTTTGGGCCCTGCTTTAACTCTGTGCGACAGAAACGGCACATTCTTCCCTGAGGTTGAGGGTCCGAGAGTTTCCTCTTCTTTTCAGCTTTGTCCTCCACTCTGCACTTTGTTAATTGCAGTTCACGCTGAAAGAACTCAGTCTGTGCAAACTCTTCAAAGGCCATTCTAGGATTTGTCAGTCCCTCCGCAGAATAGGCTTTAAACACCTTAGTGGAGCAGTAGTAATATCGAACAGGCCCTTGTTGATAAAAGTGATGAATTGATGATCCATCACTTTGGTAGCGGGATTTTGGCTGCCCACACGCAAGACATTTTTTAGTTTGTCTGGGTTTTTGTTGCTGCTGCTGTTGCTGCTCCTGCTGATGTAGCAATATATCCTTTACTATTTTCTGTACATTCTCCTGTGTTAGTGGCTGTTCAGATGCTGGCTGTGAGACTGGATCTGCTGGATTCACAATGGCTGGTGGCAGTTCTACAACTGGGACATGGGCAGTCTTACTTTCCTCAGTTAAACTTTGCCACAGTTTTTGTGTCTCCAAAAGTTTTTCTGTACTGGTGTTCAGTGATGAACTTGTGTTCACCTGTTTAGCCAGGTGTTTTATGTACTGTGTTATATGGTATTTGGTTGTGGGGTGAAGTAGACTGTTTGGATCTGTGGCAGACCGATGGACCATAGCTGCATATTCTTGATCCACAAGCTTCAACATGTCTTTCTGTCCATGGTAATTGTGTAGGAGGCTGTCAATAGCCTCCTTCATTGGTGATGTCCAGCGCTTGTGGTCTAAGACGAACACTCATCCACCAGTCTTGATTGGTCCAGTGCGGGCACTCCTTGGTGAGGACTGCAAAGGCAGGGGTGGAATATTTGAGGTTCCTGGAATGAAGAGAAAAGTTAATTGTTATTTTACTCATTTACTGAGATGATGTTGACAAGAACAAAAAGTCATTTACAATGATATTTAAAATGATGGTTTTACCCATTTTAACTGGAGGTTCCATGCTTCCTTGGGACAACATCTGTACCTTATAGATTGCAGCAGGTTTAAGTTGGTGGAACTGGGACACAGGCATAGCAGTGGGTGGTGGGTTTGTGGATGGTGTTGGGCCAGGGGAGAGAAGCACAAGAACAGAAGAATCATCTTTCTTTTGCACCTTATGTTTGTTCCAATCAAGTTGAACTGGATGGCACTCTGGCTCACTGTATTCAAGGCCAAACTTCTCTCCCGTGTCCCTATCAGAGAGGTGAAGTACAGGGTACTTCTCTTTTCCAGTCACTTTCTTTGAAGCAGAATTTAGCTCAGTTATCAGCAATGGATCGAACACAGGTGGAAGAAATACATCTGGCTGCTTAAGGTCCAGAAGCCTTTGGTAGTTCCATCGTGCCACCCCTGTCATGCCCTGGGCCTGAAACAATTTGCAGGATGCATGAGTTCCAGTAATCCACTGGGACTGGTGGAAATGATACCCCTCCTGCTGTGATGTCCCTCTGACTGGAATTCATATGGGGACTTTTGTGCCTTCACCAGGGACATGATTAAGCTGCAGAGTTCCCCCATACCTCTACAGGATTCCCTCTGTGACCTCAGGGTCACTGAGGCACCCACGGAGAATGTGCACCCTCTGGATACGCCATGTTTTCAGCATGGATGGTTTGAAGAGTGGTAAGTTGTTTTGGTCTGTGGTAAGGTGGAAATGCCGAAGAACTTTCTCCACTCTGTCGACCAGTTCTGTTGGCTGTGGAATTTTGGTCCTACAGTGCTCTCTGATGTGCTGTTTTGTAGGATTTGGTGGCTGAATTCCACAGAACTGATAAGCATCCTTGAGCTTCTGCAGGTCTTCCTGATCCACGACAGAAAATGCAGTGGAGAGGAGCTGACAAAAGGTGCTGTAGAGGGGATGGTGCTCTGAAGTGCACTTCCGTGTGAAACGCCTCATACAGTGAAACAAATCCAACTTGACCACAATGTTGGGGTTGTATTGTGTACGGGATGCACAGGTATTCTCCAGAGGCCCAGCAGTGGCCTCAGCAATGATAGATTGTGTGGTACTCCAGGCGTCCCATTCGAGGTGCTCTCCGTGATGAAGCTCAGGGATTCTGAATGGCGCGCAGTAATCCCTGAACAAGTAGGAGGAACTGATTAGAATTACAAACCTTACTAACTGCACACTATGAATCATTGGTTAAGCATTAGTAAATAGTCAGTTCATCCTTTATAAAGCATTGTCCCAACATTAATAGGCATTAGTAAGCAGTTTATAAATACAGCTATAAATGCCTTGTTCTTGATTTATAAGCACGTCTATTACAAAGGAGATTTAAAGTTGTACAGTTTAATTTTTTGCATCTTAAAAAAAATATTTCTGTGTTCTGTATCCCTCTGTGTTGTGTTTGTTTAATTTTTCTGTTTGGAAGATAACTGAGCTTTTAAATCTCCTTTGTAAATGCTTTACAAGGCATAAATAGTCTATCAAAAATAGCTAACTGACTATATCATATAATGAAGCATTTATTAACACACTAAGTTACTATTATCATATGTCTAAACTTTAAAACTACCATTTAAATAGTTTATTTATCATTTACTTACACTTTATAAATGATCTTAAGAACCACTGACAACTAAATACATGGTTTGTAAATAATGTAATACTCAATTTAGAAATTATAAATTGATTTTTAATAAAGTATGAAAATAGAATTATTAAACATTATAGATATGCTTATAAATCAAGAACAAGGCATTTATAGCTGTATTTATAAACTGCTTACTAATGCCTATTAAAGTTCGGACAATTGAGACTATTTACTAATGCTTAACTAACGATTCATAGTTCATTATAGTGCAGTTATTATAAAGTGTTACTGGATTACTTTTTGCGGTCCCAAAGTGTCCCAAATATCATGTATGTTATGAGTGATAGTAGAAGGACATGCAGATTTTTCTCACCTGTCTACCCAGTGGTAATTGGCCTTCTCAACCCCTGCATCATTGTACCTCTTTGCTAACCCCTGGTACAAGGGTTCAAGGGACTTCTCTCTCTCATACTGCACCATCACCCAGGAAACAATCATCCAATTTTCGTTCATAACTGCATAACTTGACATGGTGCCAGATGACAAGGTCACTTTTCGTGCCACCTTCCTGGTGTGGTCAGACCGCAAGACCTGTCCAAAAGTGCCCTGCAGGAGTGTAGTGATAGCTGGCTCTTGGCGCCGGTACTCATCAATGAGGCAGTCAGTCAGGTAGTGAGCAGAGACAGAGACTTCACACCACCCATCTGCATCCTCATAGGCTCCAAAAGACTGTGGCATGTCATCCTTCCTCACAAGGTGACCAAGAGTCATCTGCCTATAAACCCCAGCCTCAGCATCCCAGATGTTCTGTATGCTATGAAGGTATGCCAGGTGAGCTTGTTCATATTTAAGGTGCATCAGCTCATTCACCTGGTTTGCCATGTCTGAAGGTGACTTGCCAGTACGCCTCAGCTCATGAAGCACAGACTTGCAAATGGCCTTCTTGTAAGTTAGGAATGCTGGCAGAATGCTTGTGAACCGCTTTGGCAGTTTCCCCATCCACTGAGGACTGTCAGCAAACCAGATCCTCTTGCACATCCTGCAGCGAAGGCGTGAAGCAAAGATGTAATACTGTCCACTGGTGCCAACAATCACTCGAGGCCTACCCACACCAGCTGAGACTATATCTGGCTTTGGACAACCATGAAGACATGGGAGTATATAATTATTTCTTAGTCTCACCATGCTGTCACTTTCTGGTTTCCAAATAAAAAATGGATGGAGCTGAAAGAAATTGCGGGATGGGAGTGCTAACACAGTGTCAGTGAGTTCTGGCTGTGGAGGGAGACTGCATAATGAAAGTGCGTTTCCTGGCTTGAGCATATGGTGGGACCCAGGCCACAGTCCCAGAGATTGGAGCCCTGTCTTCATCCACACTTTCTGATGATAAGAACAGGTCCAAGTGCTTATATCCAGATCTGGTCTCTGTGCCGGTGGGGCAACAAAAACTGAAGGACCTGCTGTGGGAACAAGGATGAAAAACAAAAACATAATTGGTGATATGTAGTCATTTTCACACATTGTATTATCATCACAGATTGTATAATAAATTAAAACATATTTTGGCCATAGTAAAACCTTCAGAGTAGTTATAAAAACATCTTACTGTGTGGTGTCTCAGGTGTATGAGGGGATGATCTGAGTGTCAGTGGGGGAACAACAACAGAAGGACCACCTGAGAAAACGGATGAAAAAAATAAAAAGTAGATTAGTGCAATGTCATAACATTTACACTTTTGTTATATTCTTCTTATTATAGACTATATAATAAAGGACACTTTTGGGGCAGAGTAGCACTTGAAAAAAGAGTTATGAAAACATCTTACTGTGTGGTGGCTCGGGTGTATGAGGGGAAGAGGAGGATTCTGAAGGTGGGAGGGTTCCTGAAAAGATCAATGTATGGTTCAGTTAAAATCAATAAACTGTATTTACTTTATATTGCATCATTTATTTATTAACTTAGTTACCATATTTGTTACCACTGCTGTACAGCCTTGAAAAAACATTTACTTGAGAAGCAAAATGCCAGAAGTCATCTTGATTTTGTGTGTGTGAAAATGATCAAAATGAAGTGAGTTTATGATTAAAACAAGAACAAATGTCTGCCAGTGGGGTCAAAAAAATAAACTTAACTCAAAGGGAAAACAAGTTTTCATATCCCACTTACAAACAGTTGATTTTTAAGCATAAACTCACTTAATTCAGTTCAAATTCCCAAAGCAAAACTTTATATTTTAATTTTGCATCTCAAGTAAGTGTATCTTGATTTAAGGGTATTTGTACTGAAAAACAAGACAAAAATACTGAGGAACATATTCATTTTTTTTTCATGCAAAATGTAATGTCATGATGACTTCATGAATTTTAAGACTTTCTGTTCTAATTAAAATACTTTTTTAAGGCCTTAATTTTCTACCAGAGC